AGCCAGTGAAAAGACTGCTCTGCAGCCATCGGGAAGCAAATCAACAAGAGTGATGGCTGTCTGCCAGGGATGTTGATCACATTCTTGTTAACAGCAGCCCCTGAATGCCGAGGACCCCACCTGTGCGGCCATCAGAAACCGTAGGGATAGTCTGTACACCAGTCTGAACAACCCTTAGGAGAGAATATTAAAAGAGATAGAGAATTCTGGGGACAACCGCACTTGAGGAACGACCGAAGTACACGGCCACAAAGAGAGGTGCAGCAGAATGTGAGGTGACTACTCCCCCTCTGTTTCCTCTTGCTCCTTGATGTGATTGTGCCCCTTGTCTAATTGATGTAGTTTTTAAAATCGCCGGCAAGACCAGCATCTGAGTTTACCTTGGGTCTTCCTTCTCCTGTGGTCTTAATGTCTGCCCCGCCCCCCTTTTTCTAAGGCCGCATGTGAACCAGGAGGTATTGTGGTGCAGAAGAGAGCTTAAGCTGCAGATAGGAAACAGGGATTCTACCCCCAATTAACTCTGTGCCCCCCTGGCAAACGCCTAACCTCCGTGCACCTTGGTCTAGAGTGAGGGAGCTGGAATGTTTGTTCCATTTCCAAAGTGAGAGTGAAACTGAGTGTGTGGCAGGGCTGTGGTGAAGAGCAGATGACCCGAGTGGAGCCGTGTTCTATCAGATTGCTTTAATAAGGACGACGTCCCTGGGGAGAGCAGTTAATGCCCTCAGCGGTTAACCGGAAAGTTAGCGCATGAAGTCCACCAAGAGGCTCCAAAGAAGAAAGGTCTGGGGGGCTCCTGAAAAGCAGCCTATGACATTTCTGTGTCACGCAGTTCTCCCCTGACACGTGTGGAGAGGCCGTGAGTCAGAATGGACCTGACAGCAGGTGGTTTTACAATAAAGTGTCCTCGTGGCTCAGACACCTGTTCCCTGTGTGCTGCTTAGGGGAGAACAGGGAAGAGGAGAGGAGAATGTGCTTCAAAATAAGGAGACTCAATAGTTGAATGCCATTTTTGGAGAAAAAAAATATTTTGAATTCCAAGAACTAGACAAGTCCTATTTTGATCTTGTCTTCAGTTATCTGGTGCTGCTGTGCCATGCAACACCTCATCAAACAATACTGGGGACCATTGCCTACTCAAGTTAACACAGTACTGGGAACCGTGGCCTAGCCAAGTTAACACATTTGGTGAGGGGGATGGTTAATACACTCCAATCTATGACATTCCAGCTTTCTCCCCCCCACCCTGAATTCCTATCTTTGCACAAGAATATAAGCAAAAATTTCACCCCTTCATACGTTTTCATCCCCAAAATGGTCCATCAACTCCAAGTCCAAATTCCGTCCTGAGGCCAAATTCTTCATCGCTGAACTGGTGAAAGGTGGAACACGATTTATCTGCTTCCAAACTACAGTGGTGGAACAGACACTGTAGGCAGTCCACTATAAATGGGGGAGAGAGAAGGGAAAATGGACACCGAGCAAGTCAACACCTCAGCAGAACCACTTCTAGCTTTCAAGGCTTGAAAAAAACCCTCTGTTCCCTAAGGCCAGCTAGAGCCTCGGGACTCTGGGTGTAAGTCAGGCTCTCTGGATTCTAGGTGGAGACCCTTTGGCACTGAACTCAAGGTCTGACTTCCAGGTCCGCACTAGGATGACAGCTCTGCTCCCTTGGCTTCAACCGGCCCCATTAGGCAGCGTCTCCAGCCCCGTCCCCTGGTACTTGTGAACAGCAGCCGCATGCTCTGGAACTGAGTTGGTGAAGACCTGACTTTGAAGCCTAGGAGGCTGTAGGCCTGTCCGCAGAGAGACGGCAGGCTGTGCTTCTACCCTTTGAGACAACTGAAGTTGTGCCCGGCTCTTCCAGGCCGAGACAGCTCCACTTCCTGCGCTCCTGGTCTCTCCAACTTCTGGTTCCCGCCTGTGATTCCTGAGAAAGCCGTGTGGAAGCCACATCAGACCTCCTCTGACTTCAGTGGGGAGAAGAATCCAACTCCACACCAGCCCAAGGTCAAGTCCGCAAGTCAGGACTCAGACATGCACCCAGTCTCCATCTCTCTTTACCCTCTTCGGACACCGACCAATCCACCCACAACACTCCATTTTTCTACTGGGTGCAACAGCCCATTGCAGTGGCCCCACAAAGCTACAGACAGTGTTCACGATTACAGAGGGTTTTCTAGGGGAGTTAGCAGTTTACCACCAGTCAGGATCAGTAAACAGTTAAGGACACAGTCTTTGGTCCATCGCAGCACCTCTCCTCAGCCAGCAGCCAAGTCTCCCTCTGGTCCTCAACCTCTCAGCAGCGTGGTCCCTTGGCCTCTCTGCCTTGTTGCTTGGGCCAGCTAACCCATCCACTGCTCTGCCACACAGTGTGATGCTCTGTGGTCTCAGCCCTGCAGCTCCTCTGCTCTGGTGCCTCTGGACTCGGCATGGCATGCCTACTGCTGCCCTGCCACTTCAGGCAGGGGTCTTGAAAGACATGTGCTCCTGGTGGCTCTTCTTTCTTGATGGTCCCAGGAGTTCTCTCTTCCAGCTTGTGGGATGCCTCATTCTTATCCCCAGTGGAATGGCAAAGCTGACCAGACCCTGATTTAGAGTCCCCTATACCTCATTTGCATGGTCTCACACAACCGTTTGGTGGGAGTTACAGAGAAATGGATAGAAGAGCCATATCAAGCCTCTCAGGCCTCTTAGACTGGCCAGCCCCTGCCCTGCTCTGATCTTGACAAAGCTCTTTGGTGTCCAGAGACACCCTGCGCTGCCAGTAAGCCTCAGCCTGAAAGTGTCCAGCGCTCTTGCTCTGTGGGTTGGCAAGTCTAGCTTCACCAGCTGACCCAGAGACACTCTCTTCTTTTGCTCTGAGGGCAACTCCTGTGCCATCTTCGACTGATCTCTTGGTTCTGCTGCCACCGTTTCTCTGCCACCACTTCTTACCCGCAGCGCCGTCTCTTCTCCAGTGTTACCGCTCCCTCCTTCCCTTTGGGCCTCTGACACCCACAGTTCCCCCAATCCCGCAGGCCTTTGCAAACCAGCCTGCTCTTACTTTCCTAAGGCAGTCACCATTATGAGGCATCTTGGCATTTTTCCAGCCCCTAGCCTTACCCAATTCCAAAATCACTTCCACATTGTAGTTGTCTGTTAGAGCAGCATCTTACTCTGCTGGTGCCATATTCGATCTTAGCTAGCTAGTGCGGTATCAGAAATCGCGCAAATAGATGGGCTTCAACCGTTGTTCTAACGCAGTTGAGGTGGCTGGAGGTCTAAGTCCCAGCTCGTGGGGAAGCTCCCTCTCTCTCCGTTCTGGAGGAAGGTCCTGTTTTCATTCAGTGTTTGTGGGCCCAGCATTCCTCACAGGTCCCCATGTGTCTGACGTCCACCTTGCGCTGGGCCTAGGAAGTTCTCAGCATAGGGACCCTGGATCTAAAAGACTCACGCTGCCCTGGCTCTTTTTTCTTGATGATAGGAGGTCCTGCAATCTGTACTCACTGGTTTAATCTCAAAAGAGATTGACTCAAATTACAACCTAATCCTGTTTCTTGCCCTAGTGGCATAACAGCAGCTCATTGAAAAACAACACTCAATTTACTGCCATCGAGTTGATTCTGATGTATATCGGCCCTGTGATAGGGTTCTGAGGCTGTAACTCTAGGACCGGATAGCCTCAACTCTCTCTCATGGAATGGCTGGTGGGTTTGAACCGTTGACCTTGTGGTTAGCAACCCAAGGCTTACTCAACATTCTCCGAAGCTGCCAGGGCTCCTTCATTAACATCATACAGGTTAGGGTTTACAGCATATCACAAAATGGAGGGTAATCACACGGCACTGAAATCACGGCCTAGCCAAGTTGAGTCATACTTTATGGGGACGTATTTGATCAGTGCATGCCTTACCACATTGTGACCTCAGTGGGTGCCACAGACCCTGGAGGAAGTTGTGCAGGTGCAGCGCTGCTTGTCTGTACAGGGCAGTCTGCTGTGCTCTCAGAAGTGCACTGCGCTGTTTTTCTTCTAACCTTATTTAGATTCACATTAACCTTACAAGTAAAACCTGCAAAAGCAGGAATGTGTGTATGCGGAGATCTCTCAGAGGAGGAAAACTCTCTGGGTGTTAAGAGGTGTAAGATTCTTACAGGAGGCAGTTCTATTGAGTCCGACTCTTGACGTTTTTCACAGTGAGTCTCAATAGCTAAGTACCATGTTCACGGCAATGAATGTCTCAAACTCCAAGCAATGAGCAAACTCAAAGGGACTACTTTGTTTCTCTGCGTCTTGCCAGTTCTCCCACCTTTGACAGGAAGCATGCAGTCTTACCACCGTAGTGCTTCCCGTCAGTGGAAGATCCTGGCGCTTTCCTTCTCTGGCAGGTTTCCATGTCGCGCAGGTCCTGCCTTTTGTGGGTTTGTTTCACAGTATCGTATCAGTCAGCCTGTTGGTGACATGGTTGGTGAACTCGCTCATGTACAAGATAGACCTCAGTAGATTTTTTCAAGTCTCAGTTAATGTGCCCGCTGTCATCGAGTCTATGTTGGCCCATAACAACCTTAAAGGACAGAATGAAATGGCCCCATGGGGTTGCCAAAGCTGTAACCTTTATGGAAACCGGCTGCCACACGCTTCCCCCGCCAAGCGTCAGATGAGGTTGGACCACAGACCTTCAGTTATCACACTTTAGAAAATCCCAGGTTATAAGCATCGGAGAGCCCTGGTTGGCATGACAGGCTCGAGGTGGAGCTGCTAATTGCAAGGTCAACAGTTTGAAACCACTAGCCGCTCTGAGGGAGAACCAGGAGACTTTCTACTCCCTTAAAGAATTACAGTCCCAGAAACCCACAGGGGCCGTTTTACTCTGTCTGAACCAACATGATGGCAGTGAGTGAGTGAGAAGCACCCTAGCCCGAGGAGCTGGCCTCTTATTTCCCCAATCTCTCAGAAGACATACATCCAAAGACACAGAATGTGAAACTGATATGCAGGCTTAGATGAAGGGCTGGATGGGAAGGAGATTTAAATCCCAGAGCATTAATACGCCAAGCCATTCTATAGCTGGCTTGTCAGAATTAGGAAAAGGATTAGCTGGCTCTCCTAACAGGATTTTTTGTTCCTATACCCTGGTATGTAGCGCCTTGTAGATGGTGCTCTATGCTTAAGGACTAACTGTGTCTTCCAGGATGTTCCCACCTGTTCTGTAGTGATAGCAGGGCCATGTTCCAAAAATGATCTTACCTTGTGGGTTCTGTGTGATGAGCTCAACCATCATCAAAAAGGCTCTGTTCTTCTTTCTGCATCTTAGGTTTGCTACTTGGTTCCCCAGAGTCTGTTCCAAGCTAAAGATTGGCCTAAGTCAGTCCCACTGCCCTGGTGCTGTGCGTGGATTTTTCTCAAGCGTTCCTCAGCCATCAGATCTTATAGACCCATCTCATTAATAACTCATTAATAACTCACGCAGCCTTGAAAACAAGCACACAGACTGCCATTGCTTTAATTTCTGTAGCGTTCTGACCCACAGTCTCGGCGTTGTCAGAGATTGGACTCTCTTTCCCAGAGACTTCCAGCTCACATGTGCTGTAGCTGTGGGGCGGGGTCATCTTCATCAGCAGTGGACGTTTGGGTCAGTGGGCCTGCACTGGGAAGTATGCTGAACAAGGTCCTGTGTGACCCCGGAAGCAGACAGGCATCTGTTAGGATGCATTCTGGCTCTTTGGAACTATGAGTCACCGTGGCCGTCTTACACTCTGGGTTGAATTGCTTCAGATTACCCTGTGTGTGACTGGTGACCCAGAGTCAGGTGGGTGTACCAAAGTGCCAGGGAAGTGGCATGCTGCTGTCACCCCCAAGAGTGGCAGCTCAGACTGTCAGCACCTAGTTTTTCTTTCCAGGCGCAATTGATGACGCTGTTTGAGTCCTGTGTTAACTCTCAGGTGCCTTGTGTTGTTGTTATGTCTATTTATTTGTTTTTCTTTTGGACAACTTTTCACCTCTCTTCCTAGCAGATTCAAGCCCCCATAAGACAACAGCCAAAGGTTCAGACAACACCCCCTCCTGCTGTCCAGGGGCAGAAACTTGGATCTCTCACTCCTCCATCATCCCCCAAGACCCAACGTGCTGGGCACCGGCGGATTCTCAGTGACGTAACCCACAGTGCGGTCTTTGGGGTCCCCGCCAGCAAATCAACTCAGCTGCTCCAAGCAGCTGCGGCAGAGGCCAGTCTCAATAAGTCCAAGTATGTAGCCCTTCCCCTTTGTCTGTCTGTCTGTGTTCTCTTTGCAGGCCAGGCCTGCCATACGGCATGGTTGTTGTGCTTCTGTGCCTGTGTGTGATTATGTATGTATGTTCAATAAGAACCCGAATTTATCTGTGGTGCATGTACCAGACTGGGCTGAAGAAACCCTCTCCTGTCTGCTTACCATTTCCATTGTCTCACTTATCCCATGCTCTGGAGTTTCTGTAAACTCTTGATCCGACCCAGTCTCTCTGTGCTGAAAAGCCTTCACTGGCTCCCCACGCCTATAGAAGGATCTCTGAGCTCACCAGCTAGCACATGAAGGTCATTCACACCACCCTGTAGACCACTCTTCACCTTCCTAAGCACGTGGCCCATCCTGTGCCCTCTCCTTCTTGTCCCCTTGTCCACCTAGGCAATGCTTATTTGTTCATCAGGATCCACGCTACCTTTTCTCTGGACCTTCTAGGCTCAGTGCACTGATGCCAAATGTCGCTTTGTCTCCGCCTTTTCCGGAGCAGGCGTCACAGTGTGTTATCCCCTCATGGGTGTGTCTGGCCGACCTAGCCTGTGAGTGTCTTCAAGACAAGGAGCACATCTTAGTCAACCTCGGTAAAGCGAGTGACGGGCTCTGTGGCCACTGGAAAGTGGGTCTCAGTGACCGTTGAATCAGGACGACATCAGTACAATTGTCACTCAGCTTTCTCGGAACCATGAACTCTAAAGTTAACAACCTTTCAAGCAAGTCATTGGCCAAACTAAAAAGAAGATCAAGAGAGACTAAGGAAATCGGGTCACAGTGACTTTGAAGCGCATTGTGTTGCTGTCTTTCTCTCTCTAATTGTGAGGGTGGCCACTGACGATGCCTTTAATTCTAAACACATTGGTTCCTGAGAAACGGGAGACAGTCTGTCCCAGCCCTGCAGGGGTCACTCATTGTGGCTGTCAGGGTGGGCACCGCAGGATGCAGAAACCTGAGAGCAGCTTGCCGTGGGATTCCAAATCCAAAGGTGACACAGCCAAAAGCAACCAAGTAAGCAAGCGATTATAGAACTAGTGGGAGACAGTGAGTCATAAAGAACAGGAGACCTTGTTTCACAAGACAAAAGGGTGTCTGCGGACGCTGTTCACTTGCCGTGGAAGCTCCTTTAGAAAAACACCATGGGGAACCACAGTGTGACTCAGAAAAGAGTATGATCCTGAAACCCAGAGGGAAGAGGGTGACTCCCTGGTTCAACTTTTATATGTCTTTTCCTTTCTCGGGGTGGGAACCTCCCTAGGTCTGCAACTACCACGCCTTCCGGCTCCCCTCGGACCTCCCAGCAGAACGTTTCTAAGCCCTCGGAGGGCTCCACGTGGAATCCCTTCGATGATGACAACTTCTCCAAGCTCACGGCTGAAGAGCTGCTCAACAAGGACTTTGCCAAGCTGGGGGAAGGTGAGGGAGCGGTCGGCACCTTTCTCGATTCTGAGTTCTACGTTCTCCAGGCTGGGAAATGCCAGGTGTGAACGTTCATTCAAGGGAAGTGTGCATGTGAAAGGACCCACCAGGGTCTGCCTTTTCCCCAGTACTTGGTGGGCAGAGCCACTTTAACAGTCCTTTCATCCCCAAGGAAGACTGATCTGTTTGGGGTGGTGGTGAGGAGGATGTGGATGTTAGGGAAGAAAGGTTTGAAGGGGGCATCGCATAGATCAGGATGGCGGTTGGCAGTGTGATGGCAGCCCCTTCCCCTTCTTCCACGTCAGTAGGTTTGTTGTTAAAGGGCACCAACTAGACCTATCTGCAAAAGTGTCGGCGAGCTTGAGGCCATTGTTGCAGTTCCTGAGTCAGTCTCTCTCACTGAGAGTTGTCCCAGAAAGTAGGGGTGACCTGCCCGGGTGAGTTTGCCCTCCTGTGGACATTGAGTCTTCCTCTGTGTTCAGAGTTTCACGTTCCTATTGATTGACCGTAGAAAAGAGAGCAAATAAAGAGAAGGTGCCATTCCCACCCTCATGTAGCCTATGTTTGAAGGCAACACACACACACACACACACACACACACACACAATCTCTCTCCTTTTGAAAATCAGCAGCCTAGGCCCTAGAAAATACTGCAGTATGATGAGTTCACCTGTAAGACAAAAGCCCAGGTACGGGAATAATCAGAACCCACCGAATGCTATCACCTAGTGAGGAAACATTCTAGCCTTGTTGGTGTTGTTAGGTGCCGTGGGGCCGCTTCCGACCCATAGCGACCCTGTGCACAACAGAACCACACACGGCCCGGTCCTGCCCCATCCTCACAACTGCCCCTATGTCCGAGCCCAGTGTCATTGCCACGGCATCAGTCATCTCCTCGAGCGCCTTCCTCCTTTTCGCTGCCCCTGCCCTTTACCAAGCTTGACGTCCTTCTCCAGGCACTGGTGTCTCCTGATGGCATGTCGAAAATACTGAAGGCGAAGTCTCACCCTCCTTGCCTCTAAGGGCCATTCTGGTTCTACTGCTTCTCAGACAGATCTGTCTGTCCTTGTAGCAATCCGTGACACTTTCAGTATTCCTCTCCAGCACCACCATGTTCTTCTTTGGTCTTTCTTATCCAGTGTCCAACGTGCACATGCATATGAGGCGACTGAAAACACCCTGGCTTCTATGAAATCCAGGATAGGTAAATCTATAGAGACAGTAACTGGATTGATGGTTCCTTGTGGGTGTGGCAGGGGAGGCTGGGGAGAAATGGGGAGCTATTAACAATGAGTTCAAGAATGAAGAAAAGGTTCTAAAACTGATCGTGGTCATCAATGTACAACTCTTCTTGATGGCATTAAACTACTGAATTGGGTGATGGGAGAATTATATGCCAATAAAACTGTTGGGGTGGGTGGGTAGAAAATACCATGGCTGGGGCCAGTCACACCTTATTCCTTTCTTGGTTTCTACACATAGAATTAACTTTGACAACTCAGCTTCATTGCTTTGTGTGCCAACGATTGTTAAAGGCACAAATGGAATTATGTTCATGGGCTGTTGAAAACCTGTAGTTTTGGTTTTCGGGCTTTTTTGCATCCAATTAACTGGCCTTTAGGATTGTTTTTTGTTTTGTTTTCTTCAGTCTATTTTTAATTTCCTATCTTCTCGCTGTTCACCTGTGTCAGCCTCCACATTGAGTTGCTAGCATGGCTGTCCTTCACAGAGCCACACGACTACTCTCTCCAGCACGCCCGCCTGCCATTTGTTGGTTCAAAACTGCTTCCCAGCAGGGAGAGCAGATGCCACATTCCACTGGAATGATATATAAAACGAAATATGTTCAGAGTAATGGCCAGACACATTCTTCTCTGAGCGACGTGGTTTAGCTTTGGGGCTTAGCTCTATCCTGTCTCTTCTGACTGTGAAAACCCTCCTTCCACTTCCGTCATTGGAATGACTAGAT